CCTCTCCTTCATGCAAGAATAATGCAGTAATACTCCCCCAGCTCTGGGCAATCAGGCTCTTCTATTCTGACTAGGAAAGGAGGTTGATTTGTATTCAGGAATATCAGCAATTTAGGCATGCAGAGATTGCTACCTGGCCAGATGCTGAATCACCTGGTTTTTACAAAAGATTTCGATTGTGAAGTAAATTTTGAAATAAAACACTTTTGCTATACAATAACATCACAGGATGTGGCATTAGTCTTCAAATAGATTACGTATAACAGGGTACAGTATTTGGATATGGCATTGATGGTGGTGATATGTTTTCAATAACAAAATCACATCTACCAACCAGAGACAAAACCCAGATTTACTGAAAACAAACCATGCACACAGTATCCCTTGACAGTGCTGGCAAACTGCTTGTTACCCTCTTCCTTGTTAGCAGGCCAAAGACAATGAATGTCCCTTCTCTAGGACTTTTCAAATATTGTTTAGAATGGCTTACAATTCACTGCAGGGTTCTCATCCATTTAGGTATATAAAAACTGAGAAAGCTGCTCACGGCCATTTCAACTGTCTTTCACAAAGTTAGCAAATTGTGATGCACTAATGAAATTCATCCAAATGTTGTCAACCAGTGAAGTCATCTAAGCCTGACTTTTAAAAGAAATTTAAATTTATTTTTTTAAACTGGTACATAAAATCATAAAAATTGTACATATTTATAAGGCCAAAAAATAAAAATGCCCACCCAGGGTTGGGGGTGGAGAAGATAGATTGGGCAGTGGGTGGAGGTGGGGTTTCCCAATAAAATCCACACAGGCAGGGACTTTTTGTTGCCTCTTTTTCTCTCTCCAAGTAGAACATGACTTGAATCAAAAAGGAAGTATGGCAAGCTGAAAACAAGAATACCTGAGGCCTTCTGTTCTTTTAGTAATAAAACCCAAGCTAGACAGATTTAAGAAGTCAAAGGATGTTCTAGCCTTTAAAAAAATATATATGTTAGCAGTTTTCAAAATCACCTCAGAATCCAAGTAGAATCCACCCAGGCCAGGTATATAATCAAATGACATCATCAAATGACCATCACGCTTTATAAAACTGATTCTCACAATCCCAGGTCTTGAACTGACCTTGACTTAATCAAGACATGTCCTGGTGTTCAGGATTCTCTGTTATGGAGTCCATGGAGGTAGATGGGAACTTGAAGTTAGGACTCAGCTGGGAAACATGTTAGGACTGATCACAAAACCTTAAAGCCTTTGCTCACTGCCAATTGGTCAATACTAGCAAATGGAAGCCCTCTGACTCCTTACTCGAATGAATCCTCACTGAAAATGTAACATAAGTAAATTATATTTTTACTACCTTAAAGCAATTCTCTTATATTACATTAAAAACAACAAAAACCTGTTCAAAATTGCTGTACATACAAACAACTCTATTTAGCACAGAAAAGTAGTTTTCAAAATATATCATTACATTTTGTTAGTAAAAATGTCAGTTATATAAATGCAACTGAGGTTGAAACAGTTATTCATGGACACACACATATACACACAACCAATGCATGAAGCCATAGCACCTCTTCTGTCAAGGGACCTGTGGTGAGAAAGAAGCAACCCTGAGGCTGTAAACCACAGGGCAAGGCAAACTCTCAGCAAGCCAATGTAAGCAGGCATTTGAATAGTCACAAAATGCCCTAAGGGCCCAGCAGAGAGGTCCAGAGTTACGTTTTCTTGATGCATGAATAACTCTGCATATGGCAAGTCAGGGGAGAAGGGAGAAGGGAGAAGGAAGTTAACACCTTCCTCTTTAACTTTGTAGACTTGTTTATTCTCAAGCTTGGGTCTGTGGGGGAAGAAACTTTGCAAGAATAGCATACAAAAAATGAGCTTCTCAAACAGAAAT